AGAGTCCAATGTGCCCCAGAGTTCACAATAAACTTGAGAAAACACCACTCCCCAACTGGCAGGAAATTCCTCATTAGGAAGCCACAGCATACTGTAAATTAGCTCTCCTTTTACAGGAGGTAAGTGACCCCCTGGGCTCCTTATACCTCTCAGCAGGAGCTCCTGCCACTACCACTGTGGAAAGGCCTGAATTTGGGAAATGACTTCAGAGGACTGGCAATTTATCTCAAAGACCGGACAAGTTTCCTATAAGCATGACTGCAAATAGAAAAGAAAAGAGGCAGACAACCTGGGTACAAATCCCAGCTCACAAAACCATTTCCTAGCTTTGTGACTGATCATGTTTTTACTTCCCTCATCTGTAAAATGGGGAGATTGATGCTCTCTACCTACTTGGTCACTGTGAGGAAAATTAGCCAATATATGCAAAATACTCAGAACCATGCCTGGTATATAGTAAGTTCCCCAGCTTATTATTACTACTGTTGTTGTTACAGGCATGGCTACAGGTAAGAAGGGTTTTAAATTGCCCTTTTAATCCATAAAAAAGCAAGAGTGAGGAACAAGTCCAAAGTCTGCTTCTAGGTTCTATTCTTGTCTAAATTCATTGGAAAACCAACCCATCTACACTGATCAACCTGCTTTTGTTCTGAAGCCTGGAGAGCTAGGGAAGTGGGGCCTAGTCAGGGCTTAGAAGAAGGCCCCAACTCCCCACTCTCCACTCTGCTCAGCATGGCAAGTGCCTTGGGCCTTCCTTAAGAGCAGCTCAACAATGGGTATCTTAAGACAAACTAAAAATTAAGAAAAAGGTTAATATGTGAAAAGATGGGGAGCATTAACTGGATTTGCTAATAATCTGTTTCATGTCATCTCAAGGAAATTCCACTGTCTAGAAACACTCCCCTGTGCCTCATTAAAGCCCCAACAGGGAAAACTGATGCCTGATTGAAATTCCCCAAAATTATGTTAGGAGCAGAAATTCCTAACTCTGACCTCTCCCTAGAAAGTGGAGCTGGGTGAATGGACAGAACCCTGGGATGAGAACTGGGAGGTCCAGGTTCAGGCTCTTTGGCCTTGAGTATGTTCCTGGCCTCCCCAGGTCTCATTTTTGTTGTTGTTGTTGTTGGTTTTGTTTTGTTTTGTTTTGCTTTCTCTGTTCCATCAAGGGCATCTTTGGTGGAAAGTAAATAAGCACATTTGAGACCCTCCATGACCTGGGCCCAGCACCCTCCAGCCTGGCACTTGGCTTTCTGGATGGCTTTGGAGTGAGAAGCACTGACCTTATACTCAGCTGCGTACCCCTGGTCCAGAGACACAGGATGATACGTGTACCTCGCAGGGTGTTCTTACGGTGAAATGAGACGATGTGCATGAAGAACCTGCTGAGTGCCTGGCACTAGGAGAGTTCTGTGCATATCAGCACCCATGTTATCGCCATTTCTTCCCAGTCAAGCCGCAGGGGAAAGATTAACAATGTGATCCATACTCTGTTCTTTCTCACTGGGCCTTGGCCTATGGTGTTCCTCTGCCTGGAAAATCATTCTACCCTTGTCCATGTGTTTAAATCCTATCTACCTTTTTAAGACCCACTTCAAATGCTACCTCCTCCACGCGGCCTGCCTGACTCCTATCCAGCCAAAGCAAACTCTCCTTTGGACATTGACAGCAGTTCTGGCAAATACATTCCGCTCTCTACTTTGTGTTACTACAGGGGCACCTAGTCTTATCTCCTCTCTCTGCTAGGAGATGCCATTCTTGATGGCAAGGATTGTATCTGCCCACATTTTCCAACACAGAAGAGGCCAGAGCATTCAGCAGGAACTTGTTAGAATTGCAAATTCTCAGGTCCACCTCAGACCTATTGAATCAAAATATCTGGGAGTAGGGCCCAGAAAACTGTGCTTTAGTGAGTCCTCCAGGAAATTCAGATGCTTGCCAAAGTTCAAGAACCACTGGAATAAGGGTTTGCTGAACGAATACATGATTGAATGATGAGTTAAAGTGCAAGTGTGTGTGTGTGTGTGTGTGTGTGTGTGTGTGTACACGCGTGCACATATGTGTGTGTGAATGACAGTCCTCAGCACACAGGAAAATTCAACTTAATAAAGATAAAAGGGTTGGTGCAAATGGCATTTTTTCCCCTTGAGGCCTTTTGCCAAGGATTTCCTGGCTGATATTTTCTTCCTTCCAAAGTAAAGAGACAAAAAGAATAACCCAAGCCCATTGCTTTCATGGTTTCCAGGGGTCCTCAAACTACGGCCCGCGGGCCACATGCAAATACAAATATTGTATTTGTTCCCGTTTTGTTTTTTTACTTCAAAATAAGATATGTGCAGTGTGCATAGGAATTGGTTCACAGTTTTTTTTAAACTATAGTCCGGCCCTCCAACGGTCTGAGGGACAGTGAACTGGCCCCCTGTTTAAAAAGTTTGAGGACCCATGGTTTAGGCAAAGTTTAGAGGCAATTAGAGGGAATAGGTTTCAAGTGCAGTTTTGATGAGAACTGAAACGGCACATTCTGACACTCAACCTCTCTTCTATACACATCAGGTGAAGGCCAAGACCCTAATAAGGAGGAAAACCAAAGAATTCTCAGGGGGGAGGGACACCCTCTGGGCATTTCCTGACCAAGAAGCCCTTCTGAGCACAGGTGAGAACTTAGAAAGCATGAACCAACTGGTATAATGGGGAGTCTTTTCTCCTCGTCCAGATTCTGGTTTCCATCTGGCCTCCCCTTTCCCCGCTGACCATAACTGGAGAGATAACTGGCCACTCATGCAGCTCTTCCTCTGGCTTTTTCAAGCCTCCCAGCCATCTGGGTCTCCCTGTCCCGCCACCCCACCACCCTGCCCTGGCTTCAGTGACCCGATTCTGGTGGCTACTGAGTCTGTTCTGCCAACAACCCAGGAGGCTCTGTCAGTTTGAGATGGAGCCATCAACTCCATCCCTTTCCGCAACTGATGCGCCTGGGCCAGGCCCCAGAAAAACAAACTTTCAGCTTTGTGGCTTTTTGGCAGCCTGGCTTCGACTTTTGTTTTAACAAGGAGTGGGAGGGAGAATTTGAACCCTGTGGTTATCTGCATTTTAAAACATTTAAAGAGAGTCTGTCCACCTGCTTGGCACTTTGTGTTCTCCAGTAAGTCCCTCAGCCCCACCCCTTCTAAAATAGCAACAATAATTCTGAGCCTCCTTGGTGGCTGCTTATATACATGGGAGAACTGGGGTGGTGGGGGGAGGGAGATATCCTGAGATCTATCTTCTCCCTTGGGAGAGGAGTCTGCACTTGACCCCCAACTGGGATTCCTCAGAAAGGCACACATGTAGGTCCTCAGTCCTCAAACGGGAAAGACCAGGGTGAAAAGAGGTCCTGTTTTGTAAAAACCACTCCCACTGGCTACAAGGTCCTTTTGCATTTAGAGGGAGAGTCTTCCCGGCCAAGAGTCTAATTTCCTCTCCATCCCAGATAATAGCCCTTCTAGCTGCCTTCTACCATATCACTGATGTGGGGGGAATAAGGAACTCAGAAAGGAGAGAGGGAAAAGGGGGCAGGAGTGATGGTGGCAATAAGGGAATGGTTTGACATACAAGTCCAAAGTTCATTCCCAAATGGAGGGAGTGAGGGGTGCTTAGAATTATCTGGAGAAACAGTCTATCATTTCCTCTCTCAACAGACAGTTATGAGAACCACTGCAGTGATGGTCACCTGCCCTAAGGACTCTCCCACCCTCCCATTCTTCCTCGAGCATCCCATAGTGTCTTGTTTGAGTACCATGGAGATTAGAGTACGAAGTGTGTTAGTGAACAATATCACCACCCTTGGGCAACTCTGGAAGGTACAAGTGGTCCTGGCCTCAACCAAACCAGTAGCAGGCTGCTTAGAATTATCTGGAGAAACAGTCTGTCATTTCCTCTCTCAACAGACAGTTATGAGAACCACTTCAGTGATGGTCACCTGCCCTAAGGGCTCTCCCACCCTCCCATTCTTCCTCCAGCATCCCATAGTGTCTTGTTTGAGTACCACGGAGATTAGAGTACGAAGTGTGTTAGTGAACAATATCACCACCCTTGGGCAAGTCTGGAAGGTACAAGTGGTCCTGGCCTCAACCAAACCAGTGGCAGGACAAGGATTGTCTCCACAGGGCATTGAGCTGACAGTAACAGGTTGGGTGCACTGGAAAAGCCTCCAGACACTTCAGCTTGAGAGCACGGGCGGCTCCCTCTCTCCAGTAGGGCTCTGTAGGCAGGAGCTACAGAAAGATTATCCCTTTGAGACTTTGAGAGGGACTCTCAGAAACAGAAGTAGCACCTTGATGCTCCATGGGGAGTTCCAGAATCTTGTAGTTCTTTTTTTTTTTTTTTAAATTGATTTCAGAGAGAAGACGGGAGAGGGAGATAGAAACATCAATGATGAGAGAGAATCCTCCTGCATGCCCCCTACTGGGGATCGAACCCGTAAACAGGCATGTGCCCTAACGGGGAATCAAACCGTGACCTCCTGGTTCATAGGTCGACGCTCAACCAGTGAGCCACACTGACCAGAAACCTTGTGGTTCTTATTTAAAAAATGGATTTACAGCCATTCACAGAGCCCAGCTCGGCATTCACAGCAGCTTAGCTGCTGAAACCTCTCTTCACAAAGACGGCAAGCCTGGGAGTCTGGGATGTCCATGGAAAGATCTAAGGTTATCCCTGCTCGACACACACAGAAATGAGCATCAAAGAGAACCCAGGCGGAGTTTCTGCAGCGACCTGGTAACCACAGCCTCTGAAGAAGGCCCAGACCATATTCCTCAGTCTCTAGCCCACAATGTCCAAAGGGCATCAGAGCGCTCCTCCTCTACAGAGGAATCACTTCTGGAACCAGGAAATGGATTCTACTTGCCAACACTGCCGCCGAGAGGATGCGAAAAAGGCTGACCAGGCCACAGTTTTCCAATGACAATGAGCAGAGGTAGTAACCAGCACCCAGGGCTCCAAGAAACCTCCAGGCAAGAACTTACACCAGAGTTCATAGTAGTAGTTGCAGCACTGAGACTGTCCACAGCAGTGTCCTGTGTCACAGATGTAGCTCTGATTGTTGGTACCCACACAGGTTTCCTTATCCTAAAAAATAAATAAATAAAATTTAGCATATTAAATTACTTCTCATCCCCCTCTTTCTGGTCATCTGCTCACTCTCCACCAAAATGGTTTGTATCAATATTTATTCCATTAAGAAAAAAATATTAGACAGGACAGCAAATGTAAGCAGGGAGGGAGAATGGTTTATTAAAGGGAGAAGAGGCCCTGGGCCAGGAAGCTCAGTTGGCTGGAGCATCGTCTCAACATGCTAAGGTTGTGGGTTCGATCCCCGGTCAGGGGACATACAAGGGTCAACCAATGAATGCATAAAGAAGTGGAATGGCAAATCAATGTTTCTCTCCTCTCTCTCTCTCTCTCTCTCTCTCTAAATCAATCAATAATTTTTAAGGGTCCACATTAAAAAAAAAAAAAAAGAAGAGGATTCAGCACACACAACTGACTGGTAAAGAGCAGAGTTCTCAGACAGGAAAGGGTTATGTCACTTTCTTTATATCCAAGCAGAAACACTGGATATTCCAGTGCTATTTAAACTCAGCTGGTAACAAGGTGATGATTCTCCTGTAATTAGCAGTGGTTTTAAATAAAACCAGCTTTTCTGTGAAAGTTCCTGGAATAATTAATGCAGTATGGATTCTAAGATTAGGATTAGCATCTAGTTAGGCATTCCATCCTCCCTTCAAAACACAAGATCTCCAAGGTTAATTACACTGTGATTCAAAAAAGGGCTAAAAAACCAGCTACTAAATTCTTCACTTTTAAGAGGTGACCTGCTCAAGTGACCTAGTCCAAATTCAATTTGCTAGATCATGTTTAGCATACTGAATGATCTCTTAATAATCTGGACTGGATATAGGATTCATACTGTCCCTTCCCAGGGACAGCTACAGAAAAGGTACTGCTGGGTAACCATCTAGCAGTTTTTTGCCAAATTCTATTCGCAGAACTGGGGAATGGAAATGGAGGTGAAAAAGATTTTTTACTTATATAATCAATAAGGAAAAAAATTAAAATTAAAAAAAAAGATTTTTTACACTTCATACTTTAAATATGAAATATCCCACCAGCCAACCTGAACTTCAGCCCAAAATGTTCTCTGGACCCCAATGTATATGATGAGACCTATAAATCACCTGCTCTATCTGGCTTTCAACATTTCTTTATTCTAAAGAAGTAACACATGGATTTACTGAACACTGTTTTGTGCTAAGCACTGAGCTGGGTAAGAGGACTATGCAAAGATAAATAAGACATTGTTCCTATCCTCAAGAAGCTCAGAGTTAAGAAGGGAAAAAACCCTGCTCAGCAAAGAAACTCAAACCACAGTATTGTATTTGCTGCTACTCAGGCTGACCCTGCCCACAGCACACATCCGGGCAGATGCCTGCCAGTGGAAACCTAAGTCACATGGCCAGTTCATGCTCTCTGGACCTGGCTTTCCTAGTCTGTCTACTTGGCCAAGGGTATAAACAAGCATGCCAGTGACTGTCTACAGGGATAGGGGCCGGAGAGCAACAATACAGGCACCTGAAGCCATAAGGACTAAAAACCAGATCCCTGGCTCAGTGCAGGTTTCCACCACACATCCTCAGGTGTTTCCTGGTCTTTAAAGAATCTTACACACACCTGCCCCCCCCGCACCCCCCCCCCGTGTAAAGGGGTTTAAGAAGAAGAAACATGGGAAAGGCATTTGTAAACTCTGACAATGAGGGTTTCACAATATTGCAAACAATTCTTCCTATCTTTGCCTTCCTGTGTATACCATATACAGAATACAATCACCTGTGAGGCCTGGCGCACATAGAGAAAGCAGATTTGTGCTCACTTTTGCTAGAACACACACTCTCTGACTTCAGAGTAAAACACTGCTTTCATAAGGATATCAAAAAGTTTCTCCCAGCCCGGCCGGCATGGCTCAGTGTTTGAGCATCGACCTATGAACCAGGAGGTTACAGTTTGATTCCCAGTCAGGGCACATGCCTGGGTTGCAGGCTCGATCCCCAGTGGGGACGGTGCAGGAGGCAGCCAATTAATGATTCTCTCTCATCATTGATGTTTCTAGCTCTCTTTCCCTCTCCCTTCCTCTTACTCTAAAAAAAAAAAAAATCTTTTAAAAAAAAGTTTCTCCCAAGTCTAACAAGCCTGGAAATACCATTTTTCTGACACTGGCTCACAAGAGCACAGTTCAAAATGTCCACCTAGTTTCTAAAAGAGGCTGTGCTGTCTATACCCTGACACATTAAAGAATCCAGTGATACTTCTGCCTCGGGAAAATTTACCAGATGAGGTCCAGGCTCTGAACACACAGTAGCCAACTGGTCCTAAGTGAGGCGTGGAATGGAACGTGTTTGAAATCTAAACAAGTGGCATCCTCATGACCTACTGGTGTCAGCTTTTCTCTTGGCTCTTCCATCCCCTGAGGCAGGAAGCCTGATATAAACAGGACCCCGCTCTTTTCTCCAGGGAGAGCAGAACTGTAGTAGCATCCTTTAATCCAGAGTCCTCCAAACACTAACCAATATATCTTGCCCCCTGTCCTCCCTCTGCCCCCAGACAGTGTCCCCAAGCTGCCTGGGATGGTTTTGATTATGGAATTATCATTTTCTGCTGCAGGAGAAAGGAAAGACAGTGGGCAGTTAAGGAATGTGAGTATATAAGTGGGCTCATGGACCTTTAGCAAAGAAAAAAAATGAAGATTGGGGTAGTGAGATGTGTCAAGGTGAACTCCTCCAGAGACAGAGAGACTTGCTGGTGTGAGAAAAAAATCCAGGTGCCTTGTGTTTGGTCCCAGCTCTGCCACAATAGAGGAACAGAACTTTGGTTAAGCTCCTGAGTGGTCCTAAGACTTATTAAGATGCTCTCTAATGTCCCCTTCATCCCTAAGTAAGGCTTTATTATCCTACCCTCCACCCACCCCCTCTGTCATAACAGCCTTGAGTCAACTCAAGAGCTCCTATAACCTCTGTCTCCTCTCATTCAAAGTGACAGCAAAGAACGGTGATGTGCAAATGCTGCTTGGTGCTTTCCACCCTCTCCCAGTGGGCTGCCCAGTGGGCTCTCACAGACCACTCATGCTCAAGATCTACTGTCAGGCAGAAGTGACCAAGAGTTAGTCAGACCTGGGTTCAAAACCCAGTTTATTAACTTATTAAGCCCATTATGCTTATTAACTGTGTGAGCATGGGTAAGTTACTTAACTTCTCTGAGCTTTTAATATCAATATTATTTTGTGAGCCATTATTGCCAGCATGGAAGATCATCCAAACAGCACTTTGCATTCACTTAGAACTCTTGCAGAATAGTAAAGTTCACTGGCTGTTCCAGAGACACAAAGAATAGACAAAGGAACTCGAGAGCATGCAATGGAAAGTTCAAATATGAAAAATTCTCAGCACCCTTTATGACCATCCTTTGCTTTTCTCCCAAGCATCTTTAAGCACTTTACACACATACGTTGTTCAGGCCAACTCTTGAGGAGTGACCAGTAAATATCCCTCCCACCCCTCTCTTTAGAGGGGAACCAGAGAATGAACTGCACTCTCCCTATGGGCAGGAGCTCTGTCTCCTTATCCTCCTCCCCCATCCCCAGTACAAGCACAGTGCTTGGCACACAAAGGTTTGCTTAATGAAACAATGGCAACGCAACCTTCATGAAGACAGAGCAACTTGGGGTGAATAATATAGCTAATGTATACTGAACACCTGTTATGTGCCAGGCACTGTTTTTTAAATGCTTTACAGGTACTCCTTTATCTGAACTTGTAAGCAACACTATGAAATGGGTAGTATCAGGGAATTGAGGCCAAGAGAGGCTAAGTAATTTGCCTCTAGGAAGTAGAGCAATCTAGTTTGTCAGACTTTAGAGCCTGAGTTTTTACCTATTATGAAGCTATAGCCTCCTTGGGTGAAGTTATACTTCCTCAGTTGCTTTTACACTTCAGTTGCTTAAATAAACCCAATAAAAGCCCCAAATCAAATAAAATCAACATTTTGTCTTTGGTGGAAAAGATAAGGATCCTGTTCTGTGCAGCTCTTAGACTTTGAGAACAGGATCTTTCCTTTTCTACTTGGCAGGGAGGAGAGGCAACACGGGACTCCTCCCTTCTTTGCTCAAAAGGTCATACTTTCACATACTGATTTTCTGAAGAGCAGAATGGTGTTTCATCCCAGTGTGGAACACAGGGTCTACATTCCTTCCTTCATACTGAGTACCCTGCATCAGTACTGAGCTGGAGGTGGGGAACACAATAGAAAAATGGCTAAAAATAGTCATGATCCCTGTCCTTGAGGAGTTTGCAGTCTCATGAAAATAATAATAGCAATAATAATAATGTAATCACGTGATAGGAAGGGAAAATACATGATTCAGTGAGAGTTATAAGACCTAAGAGCTAGTCATAAAAAGGTCCAGAACAGCTTCTGGGAGGAAGGTAAGTTGAAACTGAGATCGTCAGGATGGTTGGAAAGTTAGTAACCAGGGAAGAGGGACGGGGAGAACTTTACAGGCTGAGGAAAGGAAACAAGCAAAGCACTTTAGCTAGGAATGGCTGAGGTAAGCGGGAACCAGACTGTGCAGGGAGGTGACAAGATCAGATTGCATTTTATTAATTTCTTTTTCAGATTTGCATTTTAAAGATACCTTCTTCCTGGCAGTTTTCATCTGCATAAAACACCAAGGCCAAAAAAATGCTAGAAAGGTCAAACTTCACATAAATGAACTTTGTGCAAATAACTTGTGCTTTTAGGCTGAGGTCTTTTACCTCAGGGAGGACTGTGGCAATGACCATCGGGATCCTCGTGTTTACAGGTATGTGCCTTCAAGTCCTGGTACCACAGTGACCGACTCCCAAGATATGGGGCACATATGGTCACTAAACAAAAAGCATAGGCACAAAGAAACAGCAAGAATGACCAACACCGAACTGGAAAGAACATTTTTTACAATGGAAAAGGATGAACAGTATGCCTTTTGCACATATGCAAAAAATTATCTCATCTCTTTGGTGGCAGCATAAACTGTGGGA